AGAATTAGAAAAAGAACAAAGCCCCAAGTCAGTAAAGGGAAGGAAATGATAGAACTCAGAGCAGAAATAAATGAAATAGAGACTTAAAAAGCAGTAGAAAGGATCAGTGAAACTAAGAGCTGGTTCTTTGAGAAAATAAACAAAATTGACAAACCTTTGGCCACACTCACTAAAAAAAAAGAAGACTCAAATAAATAAAATCAGAAATGAAAGAGGAGAATTTACAACTGACATCACAGAAATAAAAAGGATTATAAGAGAATTCTATGAAAAGCTGTATGCCAACAAATTGGATAACCTAGAAGAAATGGATAAATTCTCAGACTCATACAACCTCCCAAAACTGAATCAAGAAGAAATAGAGAATCTGAATAGACCAATCGCAAGTAAAGAGATTGAAACAGTAATAAAAAATTCCCCCCAAAACAAAAGCTTGGGAACAAACGACTTCTCTGGTGAATTCTACTGAACATTCAAAGAAGATTTTATACCTATTCTCAAACTCTTCCAAAAAATTGAAGAGGATGGGACACTTCCTAACTCATTTTGCAAGGCCAATATTACCCTGATACCAAAACCAGAAAGGATGCCACAAAAAGGGAAAATTACAGGCCAGTATTGCTGATGAACATAGATGCAAAAGTCCTCAACAAAATATCAGCAAATCGAATACAGCAATACATTAAAAGGATCGTACACCACTGTCAAGTGGGATCTATTCCAGGGATGCAGGGATGGTTCAACATCCGCAGATCAATTAATGTGATATACCACATTAAGAAAATGAAGGATAAAAATCACATGATCATCTCAATAGATGCAGAGAAAGCATTTGACAAGATCTAACATCCATTTATGATAAAAACACTGAATAAAATGGGTATAGATGGAAAATACCTCAACATAGTAAAGGCCATATATGACAAAATCACAACTTACATCAGACTAAGGTGAAAAACTGAAAGCTATTCCTCTGAAAACAGGAGGAAGACAAGGATGCCCACTCTTGCCACTCTTATTTAACATAGTACTAGAAGTTTTAGCAAGAGCATTAGGCAAGAAACAGAAATAAAAGGGATCTAAACTGGAAAGGAAAAAGTAAAACTGTCACTATTTGCAAATGACGTGATTTTATATATAGAAAACTCTAAAGAATCCACCAACAACTACCATAAATAATCAACAAGTGCAGTAAAGTTGCAGGGTACAAAAGCAACATACAAAAATCAGTTGCGTTTCTATACACTAATAATGGACTAGTAGAAAGAGAAATCAAGAATACAATCTCATTTATAATCACAACGAAAAGAATAAAATACGTAGGAATAAATTTAACCAAGGAGGTGAAAGATCTATACACTGAAAACAACAAAACGTTATTGAAAGAAATCAAAGAAGACATAAAGAAATGGAAAGACAGTCCATACTCATGGATTGGAAGAATATAACATAGATAAAATGTCCATATCACCTAAAGCAGTCTACAGATTCAGTACGATCCCAATCAGAATCCCAATGACATTCTTCAAGGATATAGGACAAAGAGTCCTAAAATTTATGTGGAATAGCAAAAGATCCCGAATAGCCAAAGCACTCGTGAGAAAAAAAGAACAAAGTTTGAGGTATCACACTCCCTGACATCAAAATATACTACAAAGCTATTGTAGTCAAAACACCATGGTATTGGCAGAAAAACAGACATATAGATCAATGGAAAAAAATTGAGATCCCAGAAATAAAACCACATATCTACGGACAGCTAGTCACAAACAAAGGAGCCAAGAACATACAATGGAGAAGGGAAAGTCTCTGCAATAAATAGTGTTGGGGAAACTGGACAGCCACATGCAAAAGAATGAAAGTAAACCATTATCTCACACCATATACAAAAATTAACTCAAAATGGATTAAAGACTTGAATGTAAGACCTAAAACCGTAAAACTCCTAGAACAAAATATAGGCAGTATGCTCTTTGACATGGGTCTTAGCAGCATCCTTTCAAATACCATGTCTCCTCAGGCAAGGGAAATGTAAGAAAAAATAAACAAATGAGACTACATCAAACTAAAAAGCTTCTGCAAGGTAAAGGAAGCCATCAACAAAATGAAAAGACAGCCCACCAACTGGGAGAAAATATTTGCAAATCGTAGATCTGACGAGGGGTTAGTTTCCAAGTTTCCATAAGTAAAGAACTCATGCAACTCAGCAACAAAAAAATGACCAACCTGGTCCAAAAATGGGCAGAGGATACGAACATACATTTTTCCAAAGAAGCTGTACAGGTGGCCAATAGCCACATGAAAAGGTATTCAATGTCACTAATTATTAGGGAAATGCAAATCAAAAGCACAGTGAGATATCACCTCACACGCTTAATAACGGCCATAATTAACAGGACAGAAATAACAAGTGTTGGAGAGGATGTGGAGAAAAGGGAACACTCATACACTCCTAGTGGGAATGCAAACTAGCGCAGCCACTATGGAAAATAGTATGGAGATTTCTCAAAAAGTTAAAAATAGAAATACCATATGATCCAGCTATTCCACTACTGGGTATTTATCCAAAGAACTTGAAATCACCATAACTCAAAAAGATGTATGCACCCCTATGTTCATTGCAGCATTATTCACAATAACCAAAACGTGGAAGCAACCCAAGTGCCCATCAATGGATGAATGGATAAAGAAGATGTTGTGTATATATACAATGGAATACTACTCAGCTGTAAAAGAAGACAAAGTCATCCATTTGTGACAACATGGATGGACCTTGAGGATATTATGCTAAGCAAATTAAGTCAGACAGAGAAAGACAAATACCATATGATTTCACTCATATGTGGGCAGTAAACAAACAAACACATAGATAAGGAGAACAGATTAGTGGTTACCAGAAGGGAAGGGGGTGGGGAGAGAGCAAAAGTGGTAAAGGAGCACATATTTATGGTGATGGATAAAAACTAGACTATTGGTAGTGAACACAATGCAGTTTATACCAAAACTGATATGTAATGTACACCTGAAATTTACACAATGTTATAAGCCAATATGACCCTAATAAAATAATTTTTTAAAAATATCCTACTGTTTTGTTTACATTCATACACAGAGAGAGAGATGTGTAGTATATATATGTACACGTGTATGTGTGTATATCTGGAAATATAGATATCACACATACCTGCTACTTTGTGCAGGTGCTTCGTTAGGTACTGGTGGCAAAAACAGGGTTCCAGCATCATGACAATGCATTCTAGTATGGGAGATAGACATTGTTCAAACTATCACATATATAAATGTAGTATAAGTTTGGTAATTGCAGTGAAGGAGAGGAATATGGTATCATGTCAAGTATAATAGAGGCAATTGACCTTCTTTCCAATAGATGGCCCTTTGTATTAGACGGTGGCAGTTTATAGCTCTTCTAAATTAGCCTGTCTACCTCCATTTCTTTGAAATATTTATCACAATTTAATACTCAAATACTCAATGTTTTTGATGGGGCCATTTTTCTTCTCAGAATTCCCATTGCTTTTCATCCTTGTTATGGAGATATTGTTGATAAATCACATAATTTGTCAAGCCCTGAAATGGTGGCAGTACCATTAGTATTGAGGACGTTCGTATGGAAACTAAATAAAAGAGCTTCTATGGAAATAGTATTATGTCCTTTGTGGGAAATAAATGATGCATAAGATCAGGAGCACCTTTCTAGTCACAAAGTCTGGCTGCTGCTTTCTTTTTTTCACACAGTAAGTGATATTTGTTGATTGAATGTTAATTGCTTATTCTTTTATCATGTGTATTTCCCCTCTTGTGCACAAAACTTGAAAGTGGTCAAGTTCTCCTTTTGAGATTAGAAGACCTACACCCATTGGTACTATCCCAGAACATAAACTAAATTATGCATAGTCTAAAATAATAAATCTTATAATTCACATAAATGTTAATAATTTTAAAAATCAATAATCCACATTATTTGTCCTTATATTTGTATATTTTTGGAATGGTGCTACTCAATTACATCAGTCTTCACCATGTTGATAGGTATAATAAAAGAATAATAATAGCCAACATTTTAAGTATTTACTGCTTGGAAGTGCTAGGTAATTATATATATTATCTTATTTAACCCTCAGCAGTAATCCAGTGAGGTAGATGCTATCATTATCTTCATTTTTTAGATGAAGGAAATGGCAATTAAAAAAATATATTCATCACTGTCCCAGCAGAAGTCATAGCATACTTATATGGATAATTGAGGAGAGTTTAATAAGGGACTGTGGTGTTTACAAAGGTTTGGGCTGATTTTATAGAAAGCAGCAAGGCATAATGCAGTGCCCTGGGACTAGTAATAGTGGGAATTAATTATTAATACTCCAGTCCTAACGGGGCAAAGAGAGGGAGCTGCTATTGGAATCCAGAAAAGAGCTGTAAGCAAGGGTCATCTGACAGGGTCTGTGATCTTAGGCAACCTATGGTAACCTGGTAGAGGAGCCAGGAGAATAAATACCAGACCTTACTCTCCTCCAGCCCTTTGGTTTCCTGACAGTGCCTCCCACTGGCTGAACCCAACTGGAAACCAGAGTGAACAAAATAGCCTGTTGATTCTATCTATACAGGTCATCTTGGAGCAGAGAGTGAAGAAGGGTAGAGAATGAATCTGCAAGTAAAATGGAAAATACCTAGGAATTAAATAACTATTAAATGGCAGAGCCAGTACATGAATGCCAAACACTTTACCCCTAACCACAATGCTGTACTGCCTCGCATAAAACTTTTGTGAAATATTATTTGGCCTTTTGTGAAATAATATTTTAAATCTGAAGGTTTCTATTCTATCCCAAATTGTTGGGTGCATTTATACCTAACAGTGAGACCAAATATGTAAGAGCTGAGCAGCAAATAATGCCAAAAAAGAAGTTACTTGTGGGTATTGATTTTACATGTTGTCAGTATTTTCAGAATGTTAAACCATGCTTGTTCCCCTTGTTCAGATTCCAGACTCCATCATTTCTCGTGGCGTTCAGGTGCTCCCACGAGACACAGCCTCCCTCAGCACTACTCCTTCAGAATCACCTCGTGCTCAGGCTACGTCTCGCCTTTCTACAGCTTCCTGCCCAACACCAAAAGTAAGTACAGTTCTTTGGCACCTTAAGCCTGCTCAGCTATGTAAATCTGGGAAAACTAACCAATATTTCCCTCTGTTTCTCAGGGTTGGATTGCATGCAAGATAATACAATGAATGCACTGTAATATTGTTATCACCTACTGTTTCACAAAGTGTCTCATTAGATCAACAGTAGGACAGCAGAAATTTCATGTAAAATGTCTACTCCTACATCACAGCTATGGGTATCATATTCTGTAGCTCCTGTTTCTTTGTTGTATACCTCCTATTTTTTAGCATACTGTGAAGTTATTTGTTTATGCAGAGGATGAATATGTTTCTGGCCAATAAACAGCAAAATTAACACAATGAAATAATGTTACTAAAGGGATTTTTTTTTAACTTGTCCAGGCTGGGGTAGCTCCCTGCTCTAGTATCATTCCAAATTTTTTCAAACATATTCAACTTGGAATGTTGCTGCCTAATATTTGGAAACAAATCTAAAATGATTAGAAAGAAAGTTTTAATGCCAACCTTTGCAGGAAGAAGGAATTATCTTAGTATTTATTTTTTATAATTTTTCCCAAGTGTTGAATCATGTTTGGGGGGAAAAAAGGATTAGACGTTTATTTGCTGCCTCACATCTTCATGTATATGATAAATTAAGTAGCAAATTTAATTATGGCTCTGACTGCTTTCTTTTGCAATGTCCCTTCCCTGGTTATGTTAGTGTTGGTGCTTTTAAGTTTTCTATGTGATAGATCCAATACTGGCATCAAAAGGTTAACAGTAACATTCCTTATTTAATAGGATATAGTGGTAGCTATCAGGCTATACACTTAATTTATTCTAGGGATCTGCAGGTAATTTTTCAAACTGTAGCTTTTTCTCTGTCATCAAATGTAAGGACTTATACAACTGATCTTCCTCAATTCCAAGTTTTCTATGAGTTTTATGAATGTTATAATTAGATTTAATTAGAAATGATCGCAAGCAATTCTTGATGTATGTAATGCAGTTGCTTTTACATTCCATGGTACAACCTTCTCAGCAAAGTCTTCAGAGTGTTACTGTTGTCTATCATTGTTTTTAGACTTGTGTCAGAAATACCTGATGTTAATTTTATAGTTTAAAAAAATTGTTCCTAAATCTTCAATAAAGAAAAACTAAGAACATTCTAGATATAAAATGAATGTCACTGCCATTTAGGCCAGTCAGCTACATCTGTAACTGAATGAAAACAGGGCGTTCTCAAGACTTGAATTGGATAGAAGATTTTCATCCATGTCTTTAAAATTTTTTAAACAAACTAATTTATTGTTTGCATTAAATTCCAACTGTACAAGCTGTACTTGTTTATAAAGTCTGAGAAATAATTAAATCTAAAAGATAGTCCAGTATAAATGTTTAGTCATTCACTAATATTAAGACCTAAATATTGGAAATACAGAACTATCCAAGACACAGTATTTTTTTTTCCATAATAATTTACTGTGAACATAAATATTTTAAGCTAAATTTAATTATACATAGTATTTCTTTAGCCTTTTTAAAACTTTGTGATTACATTTTAATTACAAAGGGAATACTAAATACAATTTTAAAAATCACTTGATATTTCTAAATTTACTAAAGTGAAATCCTAAAGATAAAAATGTTAACATTTATTAAGTTAATTTGCTTATTGGAAAACTTTGGGAGAGCAAGTGGCTTGTCTTGATATTTTTTCCTTAGTTAACACTTAGATGTTCAAACTGACAATTAATTCAAATAAAGCAGTGTATGTGAATGTCTTTTTTTCTAGGAATTTTTTCTGTATTTTTATCTAGGAATAAAATTCTATTCCTTTTAGGTAATTTTTACCAGCACTAGAATGTATACCTCAAAGATAAAATTATTACTTTGATCTAATTTTAAAATTAAACATTTAAGGCTGAATCAGAATACTAATATAATAAAAAACTAGTTTGAGTATTGATTTTTTTAAGGAGTAAAGAAAATCAAGTTAATCTTTCTATTAAAAACCTCAAATTATAAGACTGCTTAATTGAATCTAAACTGTATGCTTTTTTTTTTTTTTTTAGAAGATTGGCCCTCAGCTAACATCTGTTGCCAATCTTCCTCTTTTTGTCTTTTTTCTCCCCAAAGCCCCAGTACATAGTTATATATCCTAGTTGTAGGTCCTTCTAGTTTTTCTATATGGGACACTGCCTCGGCATGACTTGATGAGTAGTGAGTTGGGTCCGCGCCCAGGATCCGAACCAGTGAACTCTCCGGGCTGCTGAAGTGGAATGCATGAACCTAACCATTATACCACCATGCCGGCCCCTAAACTGTATGCTCTTATATGTGCTTTTATATCAGTGACAGATATAATCTCTGCCCTCATGGAATTTATAGTTTAGTCGATGGTATATTAAAATAAATAGGTAGATAAACATAAATACTAATAATTATAATTTCACAATAATCTAGTAATTATAAATTATAATTTATTTTGTCATTATGCTAAGCCAAAATGAAAGAGTTTTAGTGATAAAAAATAATAGGAGGGAAACCTCACTTAGATAAGATGGTCAGAGAAGGCCTCTCAAAGGAGTAACATTTCACCAGGGACACGAAGAATGAATAAAAGCAAAGCAAAAGCTTTTGTGCTGGGTGCAGGTTTTGAGAATTATATTCAGCAATAATGACCACTTTAAAGCAGTTGTTACAGGGCAGTTCTCACCAATCAAGAACTCTCAGACTAAAACCTCATTAGTACATGAATAGTCTAATTCAGTGACTTCAAAATCCAATTTCAGATATCAGGGGTTTTTTTAATTTTAAATAATGAATTTTTTTTGCCTTTGCCTACTGAGTCGAATTTCAAGGCCATCGGTTTTAGCACTTAAATCTGTTCTGGGTGAATTATTTATTTTAATTTTGTAGCATAAAAATTTAGGGCAGAGAAGAAATAAAAAAAAGTCTGGTTTCTAATTTGAGATATGGGTAAATGATGATGTTTTTGAGTATATTAAGGAATAAAAGAGAAGCGAGTTTTGAGGGTAAAAGAAAGGAGAGTTAATGCGTTTTGGTTTTGAATGTGTTCAATCTGAGATATGTATGAGACATCCCAGGAATGATATCCAGCACAAAATTAGAATACAAGTTGAGTTTGACATTGCTATTGTTACTCTATCTTGGTAGCAGTATTTATAATTTAGTACACATTAGTGTACACATTGGCCCAACCCCATAGAAATCTCCCTTCTATGTTTCAGATTAGGCATGCAGTCTGTCATAGGTGGAAATACATGTGCAAATATATTTTCTTTATATCAGAAATACAATACAGTCTTGAATGATCAGCCCTAGAAAGAGCATTTGACTTGATAATAGAAGAGCTGGATTCAAATGCTGGCTTCTCTACTTAATAACCACACTACATTAAGCAAGTTGCTCAGCTTTTTAGAGCTTCATGTGTATGATGAAACTAGTAATCTTTGCCTCCCCAACAGTGTTTGCTAATTTATTAAGTAAGTCTTTACCTGCTGCTGGGAAAGCAGTGATGAGCAAGTAGACGTTAGTCTTGCCTTTACAAACAGACAAAACAGGCAACTACAAATTATAATAAAGTATAATAACGTGCTACGATTTGTCAGCAGAAGTACAGAATACTCTGGGGATAACCATCAGAAGCACTTAACCTAGTCTTTGTGAGAACACAAAAGGGTTAAATAACCAAGTTATGATTCAAAACTAACAGTTCCAACCTTTCCCTCTGTAGCTTTTTATCACTGGGTAGTCTTTAAGCTGAAACACTTCCTGTCCATTTGCATATGTGCATCCAGTTATCTTAGGTCAACAACTATAATATTAAACATTATTTTGGATTCACATTTTATGTTCATTGCATTGTAATATCCTAGATTGTGCTTTGATCATTTAAGATTAAGATTCTCTAGCTATAGTAAGATCAAGATCTATAAAATATACTAAGTTTGGATTTCCTTTTTGGTACACTCATCATAGTCTAATGAAGACAACCATATATTATCTTTTCTAACCAATTCTTCATAGAATGGAATTATCGCCAGCAAATATTTATTTGCTGAACTGATGTAATATTTTATTGTATATGGGAAAAAAGTCATTTCTCTTTTACGTCAGATATTTCCTTTTAATGAAATCTGACTGAAATGAAGAAAGATTTTCATTCCTCTTGCTTTATGACACAGTGAACTGTCTTTTAACAACAAACTTGAGATTTTAGCCTTTCATTGCCCTAAGTAAAATATTGCATAAGCCCTAAAGGTCAAATAGTATGTGGATTCTATTTAAATAAGGGCAGGCAACATCTAGAAGACTTAAGTTCTTAAGTGGTGATAGTCTCACAAAAATGCTAAAAGAATAATTTTATAACAGATAAATTCTATTTTAAAGTTAGCATGATTCACGACTGAAATGAGTGCTGGTTTTCAATTATGAAAGGCAGCAGCATCTCTATTAGAAATTAA